GCGTGTGTGTGTGTGTGCGCGCGCAAAAAGGTGACACGAACAGCGAAGACCCGGCAAGAGAGGCGGCAGCACGGCACCCGGGATCGGGGAGCGCGGCCTGGTGGTGGTGGTGATGGTGGAAGAAGACCCCCGGCGCGTACGAACCTGACATGGTCGAGGGAGCGCCGCCGGGTACGAAGTGCGACGAGGCCGAAACGGAGGACATGCCAGAGGGGGCGGCGGCGAGCGACTGCTGCGGCTGCGGCTGCGGCTGCGGCTGCTGCTGCGGCTGGTGGTGGTGCTGCTGCTGCGGCTGCTGCGGCTGCGACTGGTGATGGTGGTACCCCCCGGGGACGAGGGATCGGGAGGCAGCCTGCCGCCGGTGGTGCTGGGCGGCCTGGACGGCCTGGGCCGCGTGGACCTGCTGCTGGTACAGAAGCTGAGCCTGCTGCTGCTGCTGCTGTTGCTGCTGCTGCTGCTGCTGGACTTGCTGCTGGTAGAGGTGATGCTGGGCCAGGGCTTGGGTGTGTTGGTGATAAAACTGCGCGGCCGCTTGCTGGTACGGGTGCGCAGCCGTGGTGGTGGTGGTGGTGGTGGCCACGCCGCCACCGGCCGAGATGGGGCTCGAGAAGTCCATGCGCTCGGACGCCGCCCCGGCAGTGCCGACCGCCATCATGGCGGCCGCCATCGGGGGCGAGGGCGACCGCGTGGCGGTTGCCAGTACCCGGCCGCCAGTGGCGGCTGTCACGGTCGAGGAGGCCGGGGGAGATCGCCGCTGACTGGTGGCCGCGGCGACGGCCTGTTGTTGTTGCTGCTGCTGCTGCTGCTGCTGCTGCTGCTGCTGGAAGTGCATGGCCACGGCGGCAGCCTGCTGGCGCTGGTGAAGGTACTGGCGCTGCTGATGCGGGAGGAGATGGCCATTGCCGATGGCGGTGGCATGGCGAGAGGGAGGCCCGCCAGCCGGCGACCCGGCAGCGGCAGCGGCAGAAGTAGCGGCGGCGGCAGCGGCGGCGGCGGCCAGAGCCATGCCAGGCGAGGTGACAGCAGGAGTGCCAGAGCAAGCTGCAGCTCCGCCATGGTGATGAAAGGAATGGCGATGTGACGAGGAGGTGGCGGTGTTGCTGCCGGCGGCGGCGGCGGCGGCGGCAGCAGCAGCGGCAGCCGCAGCCGGGCCCACATGCGATGACGACGATGACGACGGGTGCACAAGCAGAGAAAGCCCGGTGCTGGTGGCGGATGGCTGCTGCGACTGCGGCTGCGGCTGCTGCTGCTGCTGAGCCAGAAGCAGCGGGGCGGCGGCACTCGCGGACATGGACGCCGTCGCGGCCAGGGCCACCGAGGGCGAGGATGCCGGCGGGGAGACCGGGGCCACATTGCGATTGACAGCGGCCGCCGCCGGGGGCGGAGGCTTGGCCATGTCGAGGGGAGAGGCGCTGGCGGTGGAGCCGGCACCGGCACCGGCGCCGGCAGCCAGGGAAGAGGTGGCCGAAGGGCAGGGGGTGAGGATGGTGGCCGCACCGGCGGCGGAGTAGAGCCCGGCCAGGAGGGCATGCACCCGCGGGAGGTCCAGCCCATGGCCGGGGGACTCGGCGAAGGGGAGCATGCTGGTGGCCACCTGCAAGCGAGAGGGATCGGCCGGCAGGGCGGCAAACAGGGCCCCGGTCAAGAGGCCGGCATGGGCGAGGGCCAGCTCGGCGGCCGCGAGGGCCAGCTGGCCGGCGCTGAACTGCACGCACAGGGCCGTGCGGAAGAGAAAGTGCAACACCGGCTGGATGAGGTCCAGCAGGGCGTGGTGGCGCTGCTGCTCGGTCAGGGCCGACGAGCCGGCGGGCCACTCGGCCGGCAGCAGGGCCAGCAGGGAGCCCAGCATCTGCGGCAGCACGGATAGCGGCAGCACCGGCGCCTCGAAGTCGTACAGGAGGATGGCCTGGACGAGGGCGCGCTCGGCGGCGAAGACCGCCAGGCGGAAGTCCTGGTGCGATGGCGGCACATAGGGGAGCCGGACGCCGCCGGGGGTGACGGCCCCCAGAGCCGGGGGCAGCAGGGAAAAGCACATGCTCGACAGGTAGAGGGAGATGAGATCCGAGGAGCCGGGCGCCGGGCGCGGCTCGTCCAGGATCTTGGCGGCCAGCTGCAGGCAGGCCATGGACAGGACACCGGCGGGGAAGGGGTCCAGCAGGCGGGCCGTGTCCGGGTGGGGGAGGAAGGCCCGATGGAAGAACAGCTGCGCGGTCATCTTGGTGGAGGCCCGGCTGGGAGGAGGAGGAGGAGGGGGAGGGAGCGCGGAAGCACATCAGTCAGACGGCAGCAGGGGAATGTGCGAGCGAGGATGAGCAGGAGGAAGGGAAGCCGGCTGGCGGGGGGG